TAGCACCAATTTTAAAATCCAAAAGCCCTTGAAGTATCCGCTCTCCATTCGCAATCATCTTTCCAGCTCTATGACCTACATGTAGACTAGGACAAGTATTTTCTAACTACTTTGGGGCGAAAAATATATATATATATATTTTGGCTGTTCATTGCAGTGCATATAAACGTAATGCCCCAGCAGATGTTGCACAGTCTGCTAGTGTCTTTTTATTCACTAATTCCATGGCAACTCAAGACCTGGCTATAAATACATACTAGCACACATTATTTGAAGTTACAAGCTGTTGAACTGTGCAAATCCTGCATAATCTGTAAGTTAAGCCTTAAATATGATTAATTGAATACGCATCTTTGCATCCGTAATCATTTTAACTATAACTAATGCGTCCAGTGGCCACATCCTCCAGAAACCAGGGATGGAGCCGCGGTTGTGCAGCGGAGGATGACAAAAAGGTTGAAGCGGTCGCGTGTTGGTTGGTACAGATCCCTCTGGCTCCCGTTCTCTCCAAGGTCACATACGCCGTTGCATAATAATGTAGAGCAGGGGGGAAAAATGGACTCCGGACAAACATAGGAACACGCAGCAATGACACAAAGATGCACCCGCTCTAAAAATAGAGATCTCACTAAGGTCATCACCTCCAGGCAGCACAAGATAGTCTGCGATTGTCCAAACCGGCAAGGAGTCGTGCGGGATGCGAGGCCGTAGGTGTGACCTCCGCTAAGAATAGTCATAGATATGTGGGGGGATAGATAACTAGCCTGGGGGGGCGATGTGTACACAGGGAGCTTCTACAGGTAAATACAATACAAAAGTTCAGCCAGCGTGTGTTTTGGGGAAAGAGAAATAGAAGACGAATGCCAAGTCAGATCCCGACTACTTTGGGGAACAGTTGTACGTTCTTGATATTAGCCGTGGAAAACAAAAACATGTCGACATGCCGGAGTAAAGAAGCAGAAACACTGAACCTATAATGAATAAACTGTAATTCTGCCTGGGAAAATATGCATGTATTTATTTTTTATTTGTTTACAGTAACTGGAAATTGGCCCTTTAATTGGTTACAACGTGCTTATGATTAATTTATGAGGGAAAATAATATTTCTTCCCATGGGTTCCAGTCTTTACAAAAGTATTTACAACAGAGACGACTTTGGACCATTCTAATATTGAATATCATGCCATACAAAAAAAAAGTTATGGACATTGAACATGGGCCTATGGGGAAACATAATTAAAGCTGGGGTGCCTAACCTTTTTACATTAATAATAAGAATAATGATAATGATAATAATGATAATGATAATAATATATGGGACTCACATGACACTTGCGATGACAGAAATGCCACAAATTACAGTATGTAATGTGTCTTTTTAAAACAACATAATTTAGATAATTAAGTTTGCCAAGGTAGAGAAATAATATTTTCCATCACTTTTTGCAGTGCATGTATACAGTCTGCATATGTGTGTCTGTAGTCTATACATGTACTGTAGTCTATACATGTACTGTAGGTATACACACAGGTTGTTGTTTGTCCCAACAGAAAGAGTCTTTTAAAACTTTGAGAATAAATCAGACCACAACGTACTTTCTACATCTTTTAAGTTTGCAAACGACAAAACATTTTCTAGTAAGTCTCTGTTTGAGTGAGGGTGGTCTTCTCTTTATTTCTACTCTTCTGTATGAAAAAGCTGATCTAAACATGCCACAAACTAGTGACGGAACCAAACTGTATTTTTTTGTATTTGTTTTTTTATTTATTTACCTGTGGGTGACAAAACATTGTCACCCACAGGTAACCGATGTGAAGTACACAAGGCTTCTAGCCAAAGGCTAATTTGCAGCCCCCGTCCCTGGTTAGGCTTTTGGAGAAAGCGAAGAAACAAGTTTAAAAAAAAAAAGGGGAGAAAAGAACAACCACACATCAATAAAAATAACTGACCCCATTTGTCCATACTACATTCAGGTTTAGTGCTCACACTTCTGATTTTCCTTAAGCCACTTTTTCAGTTTAGTGGAGAAAAGTCTAGTGTCCGACTGTGACTTCAGCTCCAGCGGCAAAGAGTTCCACAGATGTGAGGCCTTCACTGAGAATGCAGACTGACCCAGAGTCGTCCGGCACCTTCTCACTCTGCAGCTCCCACTGACTGCAGCTCGAGTCTGCACAGCCTCACTGCTGCACCTTTGGATGTTTTCACACATTACTTCAGGGGCTAATCCATTAAGACACTTAAACAAAGCTTTTAAAAAGGTAAAATGTATACAATTATCAAAACTCATCATGTTGTATTTGAGTTTTGATTTAATTTAGTTTACATAATTGTGATCTGAAAGTCAGGTACCCTAGCTTTAAGTGCCAGCACATCTGTGTCCTGTGTGTGCGCTGTTGGACTGGTCTGTGTCAGAGTGATGGCTTTGATCTGTGCTGCAGATAGATTATCACTGACTTTTCATGTACGGTCTGTGTATTGTTTACTTACCCAGGCCCGAGCTTATCTTTATGTGATGGGCTGTTCATATAAATAAATCATAGTGAAAGAAATATTGTAAAAGCTGCTTTAATACGACTGGACAGGACTGTTCAGCATCTATTTCATTACAGCTGTTCTTTTTCATTTTTGTTCCTCCACACACTGCAAACTGAGGTATAATAACAATAATTGCTTAATACAAGATTGGCCAATAGGACAAAGCCATAGTCTTCTTTCAAGAACTGCTGCTTTCTTTCTCATTCCAGGGGAGACATTTCTTGTATCTTTTTAAAACAAGAATTTTGCTCATTGTCAAATCTTGTTTTAAGGCAGTCGAAATGTGCTCATAACAAGATACAGCTTTCCAAATTTGAGCAACTTTTGACTTATTTGTCATCACTTTTTGCAGAGCATGTCTGCAGTATATAGTCTGTATGCATTCACAGGGTAATGGCTCCTGTTTGTTTAAATCTTGCCTTTGTCTTAATGTAATGCAGTTTTCGATAATTTTTAATAATGATACTGAAAAATCTTTGAGTATAGCTTTCAAAAACTCACTCCTGATTTCTCCTCTCTTTTCTACTCCCCTCTCCTTCTCTCCTCCTTTCTCTTCTCTCCTCCACTCCCCTCCTCTCTATCGCTTTCTCTCTCCCCTCATTGCTCTCCTCTCCTCTCTCCCATCTTCTCCACTCCCCTTCTCTCTTTCCTCCCCTTCTCTCTCCCCTCCTCTTCTCTCTTTCCTCCCCTTCTCTCTCCCCTCCTCTTCTCTCTTTCCTCCCCTTCTCTCTCCCCTCCTCTTCTCTCTTTCCTCCCCTCCTCTCTCCCCTCCCCTTCTCTCTTTCCTCCCCTCCTCTCTCCCCTCCCCTTCTCTCTTTCCTCCCCTCCTCTCTCCTCCTGTGGCCTGGGGGAGTTGTTACTATCTGCATGCGGCTGCTCTATTGTGAATCCCTCATTGCTTTGCTTCCTGCAGCTTGGGCTCCGGCTGGTGAGCATTGGCCCCAACTGGTCAGCATGGGCCCCGGCTGGTCAGAATGCTCACACCGCACAAACTAATGGGTTCAAATGATTTCAATTACAGGAGCAGGTTAACATGATTGCAGCTGTAACTAAACATCATACTTAGATGTGTTCAGACAATATTTGATCCAATTGTTTTGGGAAGATGAGGTTGTGGCAGATTACAGGGTGAATATATTTTACTATCATCATATTTATTTGAAAGGTGTAATGTGGATTAATGAATTTATGCGTACATTGGACTGAGAGTGTGGTGCCTCTTCAGAGAGCTCATCTGTAACTTGGCTGCGGGTTTAAGGCCCCGTTTAGACAGAGACGCTGTGGGAACGCTGCAAAGAGATTAGCAAAAACGACCAGGCTCCTCATTCGAAGTGCACAGTGTTTACACGGCGACGGAAAACATCTAGCACCCGGCCAGTAGGGGGCAGTGGAACTTTACAACAAGACAAGTCCGACCCCCAGCAGCATAATCACTTCCTCAACAACATCCTCCTCAGGCCAGTAAAGACGTGGAAGAACCAACATCATTCTACGTTTAATTCATTGTTTTCCGTGTAGCGCTCGAAGCAATCGTAGCAATAGTTGTTCCGCCGTCATTGTTGGTTCTCGGCTACTGCCGGCACGGTGGCTGAGTGGATAGCACTCTCGCCTCTCAGCAAGAAGGTCCTGGGTTCAAATCCTGGTTGGACCAGGGCCTTTCTGAGTGGAGTTTGCATGTTCTCCCTGTGTCTGCGTAGGTTTCCTCCGGGTGCTCCGGTTTCCCCTACCACTAAAATGGTACCCGCACTCCCAAAAATAACAATTGTAAACCGCTTTTAGACTCCGATGTGCAGTGAAAAGGCGGTATATAAATAAATATTACTACTACTGCGCATGTCCAAATGTGCGTGGGGGAAGTCGTGAGGTCATAGCTGCAGAGAATTCATACCTTTTTCTTCACACAGCTGTGAAACAGCCCCCTCCGCAGTCTATCTGTTTCTCAACGCTTTTACGATGTTCAAAGTTCAGATATTTTTCCATTCTCTCCACACACGATGATGACAGAAACAAGCCGCTGAACACATTGGTATCAAAGCCCCCAAACCAACACCATCCATTCACTCACTCATTACATTCTAACCTATTGTACTTGTTTTTTAGTGGTGGGGAAACCGGAGCACCCGGAGGAAACCTACACAGACACTGGAAGAACATGCAAACTCCACTCAGAAAGGCCTGGAGATGGAATTGAACCCAGGACCTTCTTGCTGTAAAACACAAGCTCGAACCGCTGTGCCATCGTGCCGCCCATGTCATGAGGGTTGTGGGTTAGGGTCCCAAACTGATTTGTTCCATAAATAACACATTTGTCCCCACTCTCCAGGGTCTGGAATGTTGTGAACAAATCAGATCATGAAACAATGTCTTCATCCTATCAGAGAAAATGTTATCTTCTGCAGACTCACCCAGTGAGACACTAATTTGACGCTTTGGGCTACCAACTACTACTGCTGGTTTTTATGGCTATATTGCATTTGCTTTTGGCTCTGCTCTGGCTCTCCTCTGGCTCTGGCTCTGCTCTGGTTCTCCTCCGGCTCTGCTCCGACTCTGCTCTGCTCTGGCTCTTCTCTGGCTCTGCTCTGCTCTGCTCTGGCTCTCCTCCGGCTCTGCTCCGACTCTGCTCTGGCTCTGCTCTGGCTCTTCTCTGGCTCTTCTCTGGCTCTTCTCTAGGTCTGCTCTGGCTCTGCTCTGGCTCTGCTCTGGCTCTTCTCTGGCTCTTCTCTGGCTCTGCTCTGGCTCTTCTCTGGCTCTGCTCTGGCTCTGCTCTGGCTCTGCTCTGGCTCTTCTCCGGCTCTTCTCTGGCTCTTCTCTGGCTCTGCTCTGCTCTGGTTCTCCTCCAGCTCTGCTCCGACTCTGCTCTGGCTCTGCTCTGGCTCTTCTCTGGCTGTTCTCTGGCTCTGCTCTGGCTCTGCTCTGCTCTGGCTCTTCTCCGGCTCTTCTCTGGCTCTTCTCTGGCTCTGCTCTGCTCTGGTTCTCCTCCGGCTCTGCTCCGACTCTGCTCTGGCTCTGCTCTGGCTCTTCTCTGGCTCTTCTCTGGCTCTGATCTGGCTCTGCTCTGGCTCTTCTCAGCAGGAGTTCATGCTTTCAGTGCTGTAGTTCCACTTGTCTCTGAAGCAAAGCAGTGATGAGCAGAGGGCAGTAAACACACAGTGGCAGTGGTGCGTTTGAAAGGGGCTCGATTGGGGAAAGATTTGAAAAAGGACGCTATCGTTGAAAGGGAAAATTAATTTTAATAATGTTTTTTATTAGTCAATTTGAGAAGTTTTCAAAAAAGCTCACCAACGCAATATTTTACAGGGTCATTTAAAGAACTATTACAAGTTTTCTCACATGTAACTTCCAATTTCCTCATTTTAGGCAAATAAGATTTTGTTCGATGTTTCACACTGTGTTTTAATCAGTGGTTCATGAATATTTGATGATTTTGTTCTGCTTTAATAGTTTAATTTGACTTGTTTATTCCTCAAATGTATAATTAACAGACGTTTCCAAAAGCCTTTTCAAACAGGATAAAAGTGATAAATACATCTTCTGTAGCTGAAAAAATATTATTCAAAAATGGGACTTAAATTCAATTTATATTCGCCACTTTAATGTGAACACACTTTTCACCACATTCTACCACCATTCCTACTTCAGCGTCGGTTTCCTCCGGGTGCTCCGGTTTTTCCTAACACAAAAACATGTAAGGCTAGCCCCTCACTGATCCTCCCGCAGTTGGTGAGTCCATAGGAGCCTTGATCTTTCAGTGGGAGCTTCAGGCAAAGTGGGGTTAAGTGTCTTGCCCAACGACAGACATCAGTGGGAGTCAGTGGAGAAGGTCTTGTGTTGCTCTTCAACCCACAACCTTCAGGCTCAAAAGCGAATGCTCTACCAACTGAGTGATGTCGTAAAGGTTATTAGCATGACCCTCGCCGCTCACAGGCCGCTCCGGTTTACCCTGTGCTTCTGTGAGCACGTGGAGTCCTGGTCTCTGCGCTGTTTGTCAGGGTCGTCAAAGCCGTTTAGACGACTGAAAAACACTGCTTTGTCCTTGGTGCTTGTTTGTACGGGACAGAGGAATCACTCACTCACACAGTAACTTTCCTCTCCCACAATCCCTTCTGTTTATGGCTGTGTGCTGGGGTCGTATAGCGCAGTGAAGGGCCCATAGTGCTGCAGCCAAGTGCACTGTAAACAAACCCACACCTTCATGTGACCACAGGGAAGGCAGCTCTCTGCAGCTCTGCCTCCATCTGCTCTGGACCCGGGACTGTTTGGACCCTGGACTGTCTCTGGACCCTGGACTGTCTCTGGATCCTGGACTGTCTCTGGACCCTGGACTGTCTCTGGACCCTGGACTGTCTCTGGATCCTGGACTGTGTCTGGATCCTGGACTGTGTCTGGATCATGGACTGTGTCTGGATCCTGGACTGTGTCTGGATCCTGGACTGTGTCTGGATCACGGACTGTGTCTGGAACCTGGACTGTGTCTGGATCATGGACTGTGTCTGGATCCTGGACTGTGTCTGGATCCTGGACTGTGTCTGGATCCTGGACTGTGTCTGGATCACGGACTGTGTCTGGATCCTGGACTGTGTCTGGATCACGGACTGTGTCTGGATCCTGGACTGTGTCTGGATCATGGACTGTGTCTGGATCATGGACTGTGTCTGGATCATGGACTGTGTCTGGATCCTGGACTGTGTCTGGATCCTGGACCTCCAGGAGTTTGCATGCCCTCCCTGTGTGTGCGTAGGTTTCCTCCGTGTGCTCCTGTTTACCCTACCACTAAGAACATGTACCATAGGTCTGGCTGTACGACAACCCTTGTGGAGTGAGAGACAAATGCCCACAGCAATTGTAAAGCGTTTCGTGGTCTGGTCTGTGAAAGGCGCTATATAAATAAAGATTCAAGATTCAATAATTTATTGTCATTGTCACAAAACCCACAGAATTAGCATCACCGTAGCAGAGCATCACCGTAATAAGTACATAAAGTGCAGATGTTGGCAGGATGTGAACAGCGCAGGGCAGAGATTAATTACTCGAAGGAAAATCATGCAGTCATCCATTTTCTTTCACTTTATCCGTTGCCGAGTTGTGGAGACAGCCATCTGAGCAGAGATTTCCCTATGAATATATTTGATTGTCCTCATGAGGAAGCCACCTTAGCTGGCTCCTCTACGTGGGGGAGCAGTGGATCCATTCCAAGCTCCTTTGTGACTGAGCTCCCCTTATCTCTAGAAGATGCCAGCCACTCTGCAGAGGAAACTCACATTAAAAGCTTTTTTCCATGATCTTGTCAGTTCGGTCATGACCCAATGTTATGGATCTTTTTATGCCACTATTGTACTATAGAATTTTGGTACTTTCGGTACTTTTGGTACTGAGACTGAGGTCAGCTTGACATGGTCAATGTTCCACATAAAAACATACTCCAATACCCCAGCATTAGCCTGTCCAGGCATGGGAGTGGATCCCTCTCTCAATGTGGGCCTCCTCCAGGTTTCTCACATTTTTTCCCACTGTGTTTTTTGAATCGTTGCTGATGCAGGAGGGTCTAAGGACAGCGGTGGCACATTTGATTTATTACATTTAAAGACATTGGTCATCTTACCACCTATGACCTATGGGGTTGTTCTTACTGCATTTCCTATATTAAAACTATTTGATTCTCTGATCTGTTGTTGTTAGACATATTTGAAAAGTCCAGATGTGGTGATTTAGGCTGTAGGAAAATAAATTTAATTAATTTAAACTAGATAATTCTCCTTAATTACAGGTAACATTATGAAACAACTATACAATAGTACAATTAAAACCATGTTATATAATAAGTATCTCTACAGAATAATTTTTTTTTTTTCAATGTTGGCTGGAAATGTTCTGTCTCATTCAACAAAGCAATGCATTTAGACCATCTGCAAAGTGCAATACAGTGAGTCAGCTCTGATGTGAGAGCTCTGATGTGAGACCCTGCTCCAATCCTGTATCTACACTTTCCACTGAGGCTCTATGCTTCGCTCCTCCTCATATTTACCCAAAACACTCTTTATGCAGGATATGAATCAGGCTCAATCAGACAGCAGTGATCATTTTGGAAAGTGCAAAACAGCTTGTCTCATCCTCCAGAGGATTCGCAAACGACTTCAGTTTTAATTGGGGGTCATGTGCTCTGGAAGATCAACTGGAATGAGCGGCGATGGTTTTGAAGTTTGATTGATTGCATTTTACTTTCTAGACTCTGAATACCAATGGAAAGAAGCATATCTTTGAATTGTTCATTACCTATCTTTGTATAACAACTATGACACTAAATGCATTTCATTTACTTTTTTTGGACAGAAATTGCTTAAAGCTCGGTTGCCTGACTTATTTTGCTGATGCTTGAAATGTCCCCACTGAGGGACGAATAAAGCTTTATCTAAACTTTAAAGATAACATTTGTAATAATGCATGGGTTTTATCTAGCGCTTTTATGGACTCTCAAAGACACTTCACATGGCCATACTATTTCACTCAATTCACAGTGGTGATAAACTACTGTAACAACAGCTGCCCTGGGGCACACTGACAGAAGCAAGGCAACCAGTCTGTGCCATTGGCCCCTCACATACACACACCAGACTCATTCTAGGCAATGTGGGTGAAGTGTCTTGCCTAAGGACACAACAACAGTTTGGCACTTTACAGCCGCAGCCGCCCCACTGTGGCACCTGCTGTTCCCAGCACGTGCCACAGGTGTGTGTCTCCCATCACAGTACTAACCAGGTCATGCCCTGCTTGGCTTCAGATATCAAATGATATGTGGCTTCCACATGATGATGTTTTCAGATAAGATAAAGACAGCGTGTTGCTCTTGCAAGACTCTAGTTCATTAGCTTTAATAAATGAATGAAATGAAATGAAATAGACCCATGTCCAGTAATGTCCAGTAAGTGTTCAGTCCCACAAAACATTGGACTAAAACCATTTCGGAACGAGTCTTTCCAGTCGAGACCATTCTCTGTGGAGAATATTGTTTCAGGTTGGACATAAATCAGAGTCTTGGCGCGCCTGCAGACGTCTCCGTCCAAACAGTTGCAGGTGTAAATGTAACACCCATAAACACAATGCAACATGAATTAACCTCGCCGCGGCGTGCTTCACAGAGCTTTCCTTTTGTTCTCCGGCGCTTTCCCCCTCAGCCCTTTGAAATCAGCGCGTATGAAATTAAACAGAGCCAAGTCAAGCCGGAGTCACCCCACCTATAATCCATCCATCTTGTTGGCAACCATCTGGCTCTATTATTTGGGAAAGACTGCGCCACACGCGGGGGGTGTGAAAGCAGGGTCCTACAGGGAGAACGCCGCGCTCTGACCTACTATTTACACTCACGCCAACAGACTAACAGCCTTGTACCTGAAGCAGGCTCTGCACAAAGTCTGATGGATGAGCCAGAACATCTATTATTAAGATGAGGTGAAAAGTTGGGGCAAAAAGAACAATAGCTTCTGGCGTATTCAGCGCGAGAGCAAAAGCACAAAGATATGGGCCGCTTTTCTCGTGATGTTTGGCCACTGCTGAAGTGGAGAAAGAAAACATGTCTGACAGATTTCTCTGCAACACATTAAACTATCAAACTACCAGTCAGTAGTATTTGTCTCAATGTGAGATTCACACTGTCTCAGGCAGGAAATGTCTTTACAACACAAACAGAAACAACAAAACAAACATTTCAAATGCAACTTTGTAATATTGAATACAGAAGATACTGTTGGTGTTTTGTCGGAAACAAAACGATTCATTAATCAGTAAGTAAGTACGTAGGTAAGTAATCTTTATTTATATAGCGCCTTTCACAGACCAGTCACAAAGCGGTTTACAGTTGTGGGCATTTGTCTCTCCACACAGAGATAGGAGCGGGGCCAGTACAGGAAGCACATGTCAGACCTATTGTACATGTTTTAGTGGTGGGGAAACCGGAGCACCCGGAGCAAACCTACGCAGACATGGGGAGAACATGCAAATTCCACTCAGAAAGGCCCTGTTCCACACAGGATTCAAACTCAGGACCTTCTTGAGGAGAAGCAAGAGTGCTAACCACTCAGCCACCGTGCCGCCCATGATCAAATATACAAGTATTTTTTGTCATGTACAGAAGCTTGCACACAAATAGCCAGATACCGTCAGACTTCTGAAGCTGTGCAGGGCAGGGCCTGGTTAGGAGAGACCTCTGGGAACACCAGGTGCCACAGTGGGGCGACAACGGCTGTTGTTGTGTCCTCAGGCAAGACACTTCATCAACATTGCCTCGAAGGAGTCTGGTGTGTGTGAATAGTTGTTGGTGTTGGGAGGGGCCGATGGCACAGGCTGGTTGCCTCGCTTCTCTCAGTGTGCCCCAGGGCAGCTGTGGCTACAGTAGTAGTTTATCTAGAGTGTCTGGAGTGAAAAAATAAAGAATTTGTAGCGTCTTTAAATGTCCTGAAAAGCACTATATCAAATACCAATGCATTATTATTATTATTATTATTTGTATTATTATTATTATTATTATTTGTATTATGTGTTGTATTATCTTTATTATTGTCAGAGCCCGGCCACTGCACACAGTAACTTCCCCTGACTTCATAAAGTAGTTCTTCAAATGTGTGTGGCTTAAAATAGCAAAAATATACATCCTGTTAAACATACTGTGTATACAAACTGTTTCTTTTGAAAAATACATGGTTAAAGTTGACATGTGTAAAATCTATCTCTTATCAGTATAATGCCTTGGTCACTGTGCAAAGCTGCTTTTTACTGAATTGTTAATGTATCAGAGGTCAAGAAGTGTCAAACTGGCATTTTGGCTCCATTTTTTTTTTTTTTATCCACTTTTTGCTTTTGTTACATGCAGCTTTGTTACTACTTTGTTTTTTGTTATTTTTATGAAATATGCAGGAACACTCTGTTAAGGAGCAGGCACACACACACGTTTCTATTTCAAGCGCACATAAAGAACAGTGAGAGCTCACAAACTAGAAATAGATAAGTATCTGTAAATGCTTATTAAATAGCTATATTAACGCTAAAATAATTAATCCTCAAATGATCATAGACTTCATAGGTACATACTGTAGCAGCCTATGTGTCTTGTCTCGGACCAGAAGAAGATTCCAGAAAGATACTCATTACAAATCTTAAGAAAATCAGTATTCACAGAGTTTTCTTAACACGACAGCTGAATGATATTAACAACAGATACGGGTCACTTTGACAGAAAGCAATTTTCTGCCGAACGTCCGATCATGACTCCACAGCAAGAACGTAGTGACATTGACTGCTCGGCCAATCTCCATAAGAAGCAGACCCCCGAAATAAAAATGAGTGAGTGCCAGAGCGGCTGATGTCACCGGCCACATTTGTCCCCATCAGTGCAGCGACCAGGGGGCTGGGGCGTCCTTGAGACATGCAGGCTGCCACCGCCACCGCCTTTATGAGCAGCCGAGACACACACAACCACACGTGTATTTATGTATATGCTGGCCCTTCACACTCCAACTCCCACAGCAGTCAATTCGACGGCTCTCAGGTTTGGAAGTGTAATGTACATGTTTGGTCTTCATAGCTTTGTGACTTTTTCTGTTTCTGTGCGATTTGTTTCTACGTCATTGTTCTTTTCTGAAATTATCTTTTATTTCTGAAACATGAGAAGTTCTATATCTAACTCCCACAGCCGTCATTTTGACTGTGCAGTAAGCGATTTTGTTAGCTTAGCCGTAGCACCAACTTGAAACCACTCCCCCCTCGCTTCGCCTCTCTACCAAACCAAACATCCAGCATTTTCTTTTCTTTGTCACAACAGAAAGAGTGGGTGGCAAAGGTGAAATTGGCCTTTTCTGTTCAGCCCTTTTAGGTTTTAGCAAATCCGATAACTCAGGTGTGTAGGTGCGCACACTCGTGAGAAACAGGAAGAGGGTGAAGGGGATAAACGCATCCCATTGGTTCGTTGGGAATGAACGAATCCCATTGGTTTATTTTAATCGGTCCGCTACAAAACATTTTGTATACATTTTTGGAGACTACAGGCATCTGCTCATTTCCATTAATATTTGAAAACACGTGATAACTTGACTACTTTTAGGGTTTAGTGACGTTTTCCCACAATATTGAAAAAAATGCATCTGGAAAAAATCACTGACTGCATCTTTAAGTTGAATGCAAAATGTTAATGTCGCCATTTTTGGCCGCTTTCTTTCTACGGCAGTTAGAGCCCCTTTTTTCAAGGTGAAAGTTACCATAGAAACTCACTGTCTACAGTCAGCCGTTAGCATTTGGTCTTTAGCATTAGCATTAGCATTAGCATTTGTCTTTCAACTAACTGCTTTGCTGTATTTCAAGTCACTGTACATTCAGCATTTTTAGCAGCTGATGTGATGAAGTGATGAATACCTAAAAGATTACTTACTTTTATTTTACAGAACTCTATTGGTTTGAATGGGAGCAGTCAAAATGACGGCTCTGGGAGTTCTAGTCGTTTCAGAATTGTGGTCCTAGAATTGTAGTCCTCGATATAAACATGAGCACCAGTATTTTGGTCTTTCTTGTTCTGGAAACGTAAATAATATGTGTGTCAGCAAACACTAAAGTGGAACAGACAGAGACCGGGTTTTCACACTCGTTCTCACGCCTGGGTTTACGCCTCTGGTTCATACGACTTCAATTGGACCAGGCTCCGGTTCTCACTCGTCTTTTGTAAACGCAGTCATTGATAACTCTTTTACAACGTTCTCCGACCTTTTTGAACAGTTTCATGACACAACACCAGCTAAAACAGATTAAAATATGAAACTCAAAAGCCTTTATTAACAACAAAAAGTAATTCTTGTCAAGTGTTTTATATAGAAAATCAAATCAGTCTAATATATTTCCCATAAAGTCAGGTGAGATTGGACCACAACATCTCAAGGCACACACAAGCCACGGCAAACACTGGTTCTGTGAATAACTACAGGTCTGTTTTAATGAGGAAACAATATATTAGTAATGCTATAAAGGTAGTAGGGGCGACAGTAGCTCAGTTGGTAGAGCATTGGCCTTTGAGCTGGAAGGATGTAGGTTTGAGCCCATCACGGGACATACTCCAACTGCTCCCACTGTCTGCCGTCGTTGTTTCCTTGGGCAAGACACTTAACCCCACATGGCCTGAAGCTCCCACTGAAACACCAAGGCTGTGGCACCACTGATGTAGAAGCCATCTTCCTGTGGACTCACCCCCTGCAGAGGGTCAGCGAGGGACTGGTGCTATGAGCATTGGGTGGCAGCTCTCATTGTCACCCCCGACCCGGAAATGGACTAATAAAGGGGTTGAAAATGAATGAATAATATAAAGGCTTTTCTTAGCTTTGTGTAATACTATAAAAGAGAGGAAACTTAATTTTTGTATAAGAATTTTCTTTTATTTGGTCTTTGTCCCTCAAACAGCTAAAGTCCTAGTCTTTTTGCAGGTAAGAGTCAAAACAATGCAACTTTAGGACCATCCCAAATGGAATGAAAATGAAATGAAATCTTGTGTTTGAACTTGAGAACACACTCCTCATGTCTCCTAAAAATGGAATTTTTTAAAGGAAAATATTCATCAGTGTGACCTCAACTTTCTGACAATTTACTCTCACAAAAAACATTAGCTTGAATGAAAACAATACTTTCGTAAAAACATTTTTTATAAACGTTTATAAATATAAACAATCTAGATCCATAACGCACTCCCCTTCCACCCACAATCAACACAAAACATAAAACTAAACTTGTCAAAACTCTTCCCTATAGGATCAACTGCATTATGAACAATTTAACTAAACTATATTCTCTTCAGTTGTCCTGGTGTGCATGTGAACGTGAGAGAGACCCACCCAGCCCACCCTCAACAGACTCCCCCCGTCCCTGAACACCCCCTCCCCCCCTCTGCATGGGTGTCATGAGCCTCCAGGCAGGAAGGCCGCTCTCAGCCTCTTCCTTCCCCTCACAGAGAAAAGGTACTGGCCCCACTGCTGCTGCTGCTGACCTCTGGACTCTAAGACACCAGGATTGTGTTCATCTGTCAGTTTCATATGTAAGTGGGAAGTTTATTAGCCCAAATCAAATGGAATGAATGGATATCATAACAACTAATTATATTCAGCTACTATGTTATATATGCAGTTATAGTTATTAATTAGTTAGAAATGTATGTACTTGTGTTTATATGGATGTGTTTTCTGCTGCTGGACACCTGAATTTCTCCTACGGGGGATCAATAAAGTATCTATCTATCCATCTAAGTTTTTCCAAATAATTCTCTTTCTTTTCTTTTCTTCCCAAAGTTTCATTTCAGCTGATTCTTCTTGTGTTTGTACTTTGTCCTGCCTTCCACATATCTCGCTCATTCCCCTGTTTGCACCAAACTCAGACAGATGTTATTGATCAACATGAAATAATAATGGGACACAGTGGCAAAATGTGATGAATACCAATCAATATCAAATCAACAAAATGAGGCAAGTGTGAAAAACATGGCATATCTACAGATGTTACAAAAAGGTTGGATACAGGTAGATAAAAGGTGGTCCTCATACAGAATTTGGTTTAGGGTTGAATCTGACCTGGATTCTTCTCGTGTTTGTATTTGGATACGTATCAATAATAATAATAATGGTCTTGAGTCTCTGTTCTGACATATTCCTGATGCACATTGCCACACATCATATAAAAGGTTGTGTCTTCTTTTGTTCGATCTGGAAGGTCTCGAAAATATACCGGGTTACAAGTGCGATTGCTACTGCCTCTGTCGTCATTTATCAACAATAAAAATAAGTATAATGGAAGTTCTGTCTGTCTCTGTGTGTCTCTGTGTCATTAATAAATATATAAAAAATAGTATTATGAGGGGGTGGAGTTTCGACCCGGAAGTCAACTTGAACTTGTCAGTCTGTTCAAGATTTTTTATGACACAGTGAAATAAATTAGGATATACAAATATATTAGTGGTTAACATAGTGTGTATAGTATAGTGTGTTGGTATGAAATCTACAAAACACATGGGTTTCCTTTCAGTAAATGATTACACGCTTGACCCTTTCTCAGGTCTCTTTACACCTTCCTCACATTTGCATTTGTGCGTTAATCATTTCCAAGAAGCATGTGCACAATTCTGGCTCAAAAGATACATTATAGAATATTATACCTGGCTTTTTTTTAAAATAGTTAATACATGTTTTTTGCTCATCAGAAACACTGTATCTATTGTATTTAAAAAGAGCCCTGTGAGTCACTATTTGATGATTTGGGTCAAAGGATTTTGTCTGAGTGCTGATTGGCTGAAGTGAGGGTGGTCCTCTCTTTTCTGCATTTTCCATGAGGCAATAACTAGTGACAGAACCAAGTACTTTTGTGATAGAACCAAGTACTTTTGTGATAGAACCAAGCTCAAATCCAGATCAAAACAGATTAAAACAACTGTGATTATTTATGATTTCAATGTCTTGTTTGATTGTTTCTCTCACACTTTGAGTTGCCTCGAGTTTGAACCGTGCTATATAAATAACCTTGCTTTGTTTTCCCTTGTGGCTTGAAAATTAAGAACCAGTTTATCAAATCCACTATTGGGAATTTCCACTGTTGCAATGCACAGTTCACAAACGGGGATTGCCACTTTGACTCCCCGAATTTTGACTGCTCCCATTCAAACAAATGAAATTCTGAAAAATTCCCTGTTAAAATGTTTTACCAGTTTTTAAAAAAGTATGCAGTCTATAAGGTAAGGTAATCTCACTTTTAATTTGTTGCCATGGTGACCAGCACTTGCTCTTCTCTGGGAGTTAAAGCTCATTAAACTCCTCACATTTTAAAAATATATATTTTTGTTTAATTAAAACAAAGACATAGAAATACACAGATAATTAGGAAGATCAAAAAGTTACACACGTTTAGTAGTTAAAATTTCAAAACTTAAACCCGTCAAACTGAGGGTCTTCTAGTGTTAAATGAATCAAAAATAGCGATGACTGAAACATGTTACAAACTATAACAAGTCCATGATTTCTAGACACGTGGGACTTATAATAAGGAATACAGATCGGGCACTCCTCCAGTATAGGGTGGCCTCTCCTGGTGGTGACCCGGATGCACTCCGTGTGTGAGCTGACTGACTGATCCTATTGAGCTGCGCGCCTCCGTGCAGTGAGCTTGCTATGGCTCGACACGGAGCACATGCATCATTCATCGGCGCGCTAGTGTCAATCGCTGCGAGCCTGCTCAGCGACGCGAACGTGCGGTGAATCCTCTGCTGATCGTGCACGCGCAGTCCGACGCGATCCAGTGAATGGCTCACTTTCGACGCTGTCGTCAGCGCATCGCGCCCGTCGTCATGTATCGGCGACAGCGTGAGTTCGCGATCGCTATTGTGCCTCCGTGTCAGCCTTGAAGGAAGAGCTCGTGTGCATGTTCGTGTGTGTGTGTGTGCGTGCGTGCGTGTGGAGGAGAGACATTGTTCCTTGACGTCAGCTCTGGCCCGGCCTGCACTGCTCTCTCAAACACGTCTTTGTTATTCCGAGGCTTCCACCAGAGAGCGGCGCGTCATAAGAGCAGGCGCTGGATGTGTGCGCACTGGAGCGGACTGAGGTTCACTAGGGTTCAGGCTCAGGGAGGGAGGGAGAGAGAGAGAGAGAGGGAGGGAGTGGACCAGACCAGACCAGGCAATCATTCTGGGGTAAGCATGAGGAGGACGTTTAACTAGAGCAAGCGCAATTTCTTCTTTGCTTTTCTATTATTACTCATGAATAGTCGTCCAAACAGACTTTTCATTCTAGTTAAAGCCTCATTATGTACACACTCATTATCCAATGCAAGAAGTGGAACGTTCTTAACCTAATTTATGACAAGTAGAATAATCTATCTTCATATCATTGTTACTATAAGTTTCCTAATATTTTTATCACTGATTTGTTTATTTCTTTTTTTTTTTTTTTTAGTTTTTTGAGGACATATTGCAAATCTACAAAATTCAACCAAGATGTCAAGATAAGTCCATGAGCAGGAGTTCTCCTCAAAATCAAAAGTGGACATTCATAAATAATAATATAATACAAAATACAACAAGGCAAAAACCAAAAATCAAAACAAAAAAACACTTCAAATTAAAATCTAGCATGTGTTGGTATTGAGGTTATATTGATGGCTTTAGTTTACATTTTGATAATATGTCAGGTGGCCTGGGAGAGAGGTGAAGTTACCTAGCCCCCCCCCCTACTGCTGAATAACATTTAAAACAGTAATAATAATAATAATGCATTGGATTTATATAGCACTTTTTGGACACTCAAAGATGCTTTACATTATTCATTCATTCCATACACAGTGGTGATAAACGACTACTAGCCACAGCTGCCCTGGAGCACACTGACAGAAGCAAGGCAACCAGAATGTGCCATCGGCCTCTCCGACCACGACCAACCATTCACACACACACCAGACTCATTCTAGGCAATGACGGCGAAGTGTCTTGCCAAGGACACAACAACTGCAGACATCAGTGGGAGCCGGTGGAGAAGGTCTTATGGTGGGCTTGAAACCACGACCTTCAGGCTCAAAGGTCAATGCTCTACCAACTGAGCTACTGTCGCTCCATAATCATTTGTAGTGTATTTAAGTCATATAGTGTGTCATTTAAAAATAGTCGTACTTATATATAGTGCTTTTCATGACGCCCGACTTAATATAAACTTATAGTTTTATGTGATTGTGATTGCTCCTCATCCTGACTGTTCTGTGATGAAAACACTGGGACTAATAAAGACGCAGGGGTCTTCAGACCAAAAGTCCTGGCGCGCACCGGAAGTGGCGGAAGTAGCCGGTTGGCTCTGATGCTAACAGAGTTTAGCTAGCTAGTTCTTGTGTAAATATCTTCTCCAATAATGCAGCTTTGCAGGGTGTTTGTGTTCAGAGACCTTCCACGGACTTTATATAACAGTAGTATGTGTTCACGGAGGTGCGCAATACGTTTATTTTATTACTAAACGGTACTTCCGCATTGGCAAACACACTCGAAGCAGTTGCATAAAGTCACAGGAGCATGAGAACTCACATGTTAACAAGCACTATGTCCCCCATTGTCAACCCTGGTTTAGTCCTGATGTACAGTACTGTAGCTCCTGTTTTGGCTGTTTACAGTATGTTCAGTCTGCCCGCTCAGACCACTAATGTCCCCGTGACCACTTTGCGGTTCTCTGATTGGTCGCTGCACGAACGTCCTGAGGAAAGGTTGAGCAAAATTCATATCCTGCGTGCGTCAATTTTCCGCACCTGCTCCTCCCCTTCGACTTTCTCGCACAGTCCGTTTTGACGCTCGAACACGCGTCACCATTGACTTTGCTTTGAAAGCCGACGCAACGCATGATCCGGTCTGAACGCGGCATAAGGACTGAACTACAGGTTGGCATCCACTGTGGCCACCCACTGAGGCGCCTGGTGTTCCCAGAGGTCTCCCATCACAGTACTCCCTAGGCCCTACACTGCTTAGCTTCTGAGGTCTAATGGGATCCTGGTTTTCACATACAGAAGACGTCATTTGACCAAATAATCATGATTTGTCGATTGATTTGTGAAACACTGTGAAAAGCATTTTCAATTTTCACCTTGAAATAATGTTGTGACCCCGCCCCCACTTTAACATTTATGACATAGTTTTAAAAAACAAAGTCACACACATATTTCAACCCCTGCAGAACAGATGCCATCTCCTGTGCATCAGGTAGGTATCATTGTAGCCATTAAATTAGAACTAATTTTACTTTATTACATTGTTAATTGCCGTAATAAAAAGAACAGTTTAATTAATGCATCTCTTAATCAGGCTAATGAATAATGCATCAGGTTTGTTCCACTTGCAGACAGTAGATCGGTGCCTCTCTCTGTACTGACACAAAGCGCGCAGCTGCGTCTCTGCTTTACTATGCTGTACTTACACCTCCAGCGGCGGCCGATCCACCCCAGGTTTTCCCCGCGTCCCCCCCTCGCCTGCACGGCTCTCTGGTAACTGAATAGCCAGTGTAATCTGACACTTCAACTTGCCGTGCTCTACGGTAGTTGATTCAGTCACTCACTCACATCGTCTCCGGGGCTCTCACGTAATACGCGCGTCGGCCTTTGTGGACTGGAGAGCGCGCAGGCGACATAAACATTTCCTTTATTTACACAGCAAAGCCAAACACGGATTTACCCCCAGAGCTGCGCGCTGAAAGTAAGTTTACCGCCTGGTTATGATCCCTTTTTGTGTGCTTGTGTGTGAGTGTGTGTTGTCGCTGCCTGCATGAGGAGCTGTTGTTTGAATGTGTGCGCGTATTGGTGAAGATGGGGATAGCTCTCTGCCTTTTCTCCCCTCACTACTTGGACATTTACCTGCTAACAATAGACTGACCTTATACACAGCTTTAACCAGTCTCGGGTGAACTCGTGTCAAGAGGGAGCACAGATTTTCCTCCCCAGTATTCGCGTATTCTGCCTGAGCCCCGTGCGTAAAAGCTCTCAGCGATCGCTTCATTATCGGTGGTCGCTGGTTCCCTCGCCTTCTCCAGCAGCCGCCCGCGTCTCTCTGTCTGCGAGGAGATGTCACACTGCTCTGCTCCCATGTGTCGCTGTTTTAACACATGTTCTTGTGCAGTAGTTGAATGCATGGCTCGTTTTTTTAGCTGCTCAGCTGATGGAAGTGCAAGAACTGTAGCAGCGAAGCTATCCAGAATGTGTGTCACTCCTTCAAGCTTAGCACGCTGTCTAGGCTTGTCGACTGTCTTTAAGGTTATTATCGGCTACCTGTTGTAATGCAATTAGCCGTGCACTTCTACCCCCTTCTTTCGTTATTAGCTTGGTTAAGTAACGGATGCAACGACGCTGATAGTACTGTGATTATATCCGCGCAAGTTTCATTCATAGATCAATCAATGTGCCACCCAGCGCGAAGTGGTTGCAGCTTTCAACAGCTCTCAAGTGCACGGGTATAATGGCCCTCACTTCGTCCCCCACTTATATAATTGAATGTTATTTGTGTCTGTTGTTAGATAATGCGCGTAATGCATGTGTCCTGACCGTTCCAACTCTGTCAATCAGTGCGTGTGCGCTCCAGAGGGATGTGTCTTGACTTCTGGCTGACTGAGTGGCTGTGCTTTGAGCCTAGCGGGCGGACCCTCCCCGTTAAATTCCTCCGTCTGGATGTGAGGCCAGTCGGGGCAGTGCGCGGCTGTGCGAGGGGCTGTTTGGCAGTCATGTCCGTGGTGGTGGTGATGGCAGAGGAGGAGGTGGAGACAGCGGAGACTATGCTTTTTTCATTATACTGGGGCATTTTCTATTAGGAGTCTGCCCAATTAAAGATAATAGGGCTATAAGTAACACGGGGATAAAGTCTGTTGTATAAAACATGAGTGGAATAGCACACTTTCAACACATAAATGCAAAACAATTGTGACATGTTTTATCATTGGGGTCACAAATGGCAATGTAAACAGAATTACATCAATTTAACCCTTGTCTAATAGCTGCAGTTATTAGGTTTGGTTTTAACATCAAGAATATTACAGCAACACAGTGTAACTTTATCCCATGCTATAAATAGACACATGTTTTTATTGCATTTAAGTACACGTACAACACAGTATTTATACTTATCGTGAGGAGGCTTGCATGTTCACAAACCTGACTCGTACTTATCCAGGAGAAAGTTCCCCTGGGCCTATATGTATATGTTCATGTATATGCATTATGTGTATGTATATGTAGCTTTGACTATATTTTTAACAGTGACACTTGGGATTATGTTTTCTAATGCCATAATATTGTGTCAGTGAAAAGTTTCTTTGTCAGTGGTTTCAAAATACATTTTAGCACAACAGTGATGTTCTGATTGTTAAATAAGTGGTACAGTGTGGCTTGATATGAATAATATATAACATGTCATTATTCTTTCACTCTATACGCTGGATATCAACTGGGGACAAAAGCTCTGGTTTGTACTATCCTGGTGCACACTGGGGTAGTCTTGCACAGTTTTTCCAATGTGGTTTTACTGCGAATGTTAAATAAATTCATGCGTCTTCAATCTTGAACTACGGCTGTAGCCACAGCTGCCCTGGGGCACACTGACAGAAGTGAGGCAACCAGTATATGCCACCACCAACCCTTCCCGCACACGCTGCAGACAGATGACTACTGCACCACTACTACTAGAACATTTTAATTTAACTTTCACATCCTCAACTTCTATATATTTCTTGTATTGTATAGTCTCCGGTAGTAACTCCAACCATAAACTTGTGTGTAACTATCTAATACCTCCCCATACACCACTGAAAACACTCCATCGTCCACTTCAAACCTCCCCTAAGCCGCTTGACTTTAGCTTGTTGTCTTAGCACCATCTCATTCATAACCATTATCCTGCTAGTATTACAACAAGCTCACGCCAAACTCGTAAGTAGCACCTGCAGCGACAAACCCCATTCAGCTTGACACAGTTGCGCTCAAAAATAAACAGTACAAGCCCTACAAAGGCAGCCGTGCACTTGCAAGAGAGATTGCACGCGATTGCGACGGTTCCTCTGTCCAGCGTTCGCCCGCTTTTGGAGTAAACACGTTTCTGATGGCAGCCGCCTCTGGTCTCTCTCTTGTAAGTCTAATTGGTGATGTAATGAAATTGTTTTTTGCGGCAAGACTTGTCAGCGACTGCTCATTAATTAGTCCTGTTTGACATTCCCCCCTCCTCTCTTTTCCCGCTTCCTTCTGACAAATGAAGCAGAAAAGGAAAATAAAGGCAACACTTGTCGGAGAGATGGTTACCTGATAAATTGTGAAAGAAAGAGGGCGAGGGAACGGGAGCCATCTGCAAGTGTTTGGAACTTGGACGAGTATTTATGTGCGAGTTTTCCTTCCTTCTGTCGTCCCTCATGGGGCCTCTCCGCAAAAAAAGCAGCAAGCCAAGCCAGCCCAGCCCAGCCAGCCCGCCAGACAAGACAGGAGAGTGTCTGATTCACTAAACAGGCTAAAGAAACGGCGAGGAAAGCGCTTTGAAAAGAAGTTTAGAGGGTTTTGAAAGCGCAGGCATAATGGTGCAGGGCGATAATGTCAGCTCAGCCAGAGTGGAGGAGATTTCTCTGTTAAATGCAGGACAAACTTGACATGCCTTGTTGAACGAAGATAAACCTTTGAGATTACTCACTGGTGCCAATGATCTCGCCTGCTGAGAATAGCTGAGAATGAAGTTTGTTTGTTACCGTCATGTTTAGAATCTCCTTGTTTAGGTAAGTAAGTAGGGATGAAGCATTAACAAATATCATGTTTTTCAATCTGGTATTTCTCGTCTTGGGCTGGTTACAATAGACGACAAAAGTATTACGATTCAGATTACGATGAAGAGATCCTTTATTTGTCCAACAGCGGGGAAATTTCCGGGTTGTATCACAAGTTGCAGAGAGTAGGAATGAGGAGCACACAGCACAGGATACATTAATAATAACTCTATAGTATAATCAAATAAAATCTCTAACTCTAGAATCTAAAGAAGCAGTATAACATATAGCAAAATAAGGAAATAAGTCTAAAATCTCCAACATTAGCATGAACATTAGCAAGACTTAACTACAATAACCCCTGACATTAGCATTATGGATGATATGAATGTAGGGTGGTATACAAAATCATCATTATTTTATGAATGAATATGAATATATATTTTTTTGGTTGTTATTTTGTAGTATTTGTCCCACCAGGAGGAGACCCTTGGGGAGGGCTCAGGACACGCTGGAGGGACTATGTCTCTCAGCTGGCCTGGGAACGCCTCGGTACTCCCCCTGATGATGGAGGAAGTGTGTGTGTGGAGAGGGAAGTGTGTGCTGGGACTGCTGCCCCTGTGACCCAGCAATGGATAAAGCGGTGGAAAATGGATAGATGGATGGAGTCTACTAATGCTAAAGAAAACTGGCCTTCATTATTATTTCTGCACAAACTGAAGCTTCTGAGTTTTTGTGATTTCAAGATGTAATGATCCAATCCACTTTCAATCCACTTTATACTGCTCATTCCATAGACACAGTGCTGCACAATAAAAGACGATTTAAAACAGTAAAAATCATTGAAAATCAAATAGGAAAAACTGTATGTGCGTAAATGTGCATATATGTATACATACACAAACAACAATAAAACAAATTAAAACAAAATTAAAGGATTGTATACTGTAACTCATGCAGTGTTAAAAGCCAAAGCATAAGAAAATGGTCTTAAGATGAGACTTGTAAATGTAAAGAAGACTACATGTTATTTTATCATTCTAGCATACTTCACACAGGACTGAAACTCAATGTGCTTTACAAGGGCAGTTACAAAACAAATCACAGACAGACAATACTGAGACAGGACACTGCCTCTGGATCAAGAATCACATTTTTACATTCGATAACACCAAAATCTCAGCATCCCGTTGCGATTGTTTCCCCGTGTGGCGTAAGTAACAACTGCTACTTTGTGTTTACGGCGTATGCAAATTGTAACGCTTTCCTCCTTCCTACACGCTGAACTGTTAAGACGTCCTCACTGCTCCGTCTGAAGCGTTGGGACGAGCAACAAGCAGCGTGGCCGAGCTGCAGGCTACACAGACATCCTGCACACTGCTTTTCCAGCTTTAAACAATGGCAATAAACCCACACATGCGAACACGTTTGTCGTACGCAACGGGGACCGAAGAGAGAGAGGCATTCCCACTGCTCTTTCAACAGATATATTTCAGCCGTGCCACATCATAACACTTGCTCTTTTGTTGATTTATTTAGCAATCATTTGTAATTGGTTGCACTTGTCGAGCTTGGTTTGGTTTTGCGCCAAGATGAATTGTTATCTAACCTGTTGGCACTAAAGCGATGATGTAATGGGGCGTACCTATTTGCTGTTTGACAAGACTTTTTTGATTTGGCAAAGTGAGAGCTTATTCGATTATGTTTTTTGGCGGCGATGCCAAGAATTATTCCAAAAACAAGGTCCTAATGTTAAGGGTTTGAAGTGTTCTGTAAAAGTCATAGAGGCCGCTCCACAACATGTTTCCACTTAAGCCTTTGACAAATTGGGAATACTTACTGTACGCATACTTTCCTAAAACATTACTCCGTCTTTGAACTTTTCTGCAAAGCTCGACGATAACGCTGATTAAAAAGGGGATACTCAAAAAAGAGAACATTGTTTTTTTAGGGCGTCAAGGTTAGAAGGTTTTCCAGTAATTCTGATTATTAAGTAATTGTCGCGGAATCTACGGTTGTCATAAAGTTGGACAGACGCACTGCAAAAAATGAATGTTTGAATTGAGCTATATTTATCTTGATCTTTAGTATGTTTAAGCTGGGGGTACCACTCTTTATTTTTCCATAAATTTGTCTTGACGTGTTGCTTGCGACCCGGCAACGGATGAAGCGGAAGAAAATGAATGCATGGATAATACGTGTTGTTTGTAAAAGCCATATTTTGTTTGGACATCAGACCATGCCATGCTGTTTTAATTTTAGTAGAAAATGTGTATCTTTTGACAATTTGTGAGATAGTCCTGTTCTTTTCACTTTTCTGCTGATCTATTGTGAAATACATATATTAGCACAAC